CCGTGTGCTTTGGTTTTTTTGTGGTTTTTTGGTACTGGGGATCGAACTCAGGTCCTTGTGCTTTCGAGGCAAGCCACAGAATCACTGAGCTAAATCCCTGGTCCTGTGCTTTGGTTTTTGAGACAGGGTCTGGTCACATAGTCCATGGCTAGCCTTGAACTCACACTCTTGCCTTAGCTTCCAGAGTACTGAGATTCCATGCAGGTGGCACCACATCTGCCTTCCATTACTTTTGAAAGGCCTGCCTTGATAATGCTGTAAATTTTCACAGAGATTGGCTTACCTTCCAAAATTGTACTGTGAAAATTCAGATCAAAGAAAACTGGTTTGTCTAGGAATGTGTTTTGTGTCTCTGTGAAGGTTGGAGTGGGAATTGCATTCTGTGGGAGAACACTTAAATATAATTTACTTAAGACTTTGAGGGCTAAAACTTGGCCTTAATTTTGCTGGTTGTCACTAAAACTTACTGATTTCCATTAAGTTCTTAAAATTTGTGAAATAACCAGACTTCTAAGTTCCTATTATATCATCCAATTGTGGTTAATAGAGACCTGAAAAATTGTGTACAGTACCATCAACTCCTTTATTTCTTAAAAATCATTATCTAGACACACATACACACACACACACACACACACACACACACACACCCTTCTGCCTCATTCCTTTTAAACATGAAAAGGAGCATAATATATATTGTACAAAAATTTGCTTTATTCCTTTTTATGTCTTTCTTTTTCTCTTTCTTTTGTCCATTTTTCTTTTTCTTCTTCCCTTTCTTTCCTTTCTCCTTCTTTTGTAGTGGTGGGAATCAAACTCAGGCCTTTGTGCATGCTAAATATGCCGTATCCACATACTGTATCTCTGAGCTGTATTCCTAGTCCCTCTTCTCTTTGTCTTTTTTTTCCTCTTAAAAAACAAAACAAAACAAACAGCTCTGGAAAATTTTATTAAAGATAATTTTTGCATAGTTTACTTTTACCATTCTGTTCTGTCGTGCTTCCATGTTAGAATCACTTGGATCACTGATAACCAATGTGCAAACTCTAGTATTTTTTGCACACTGTTCCCACTTCCATATTATAGCCATTGTAGGTGTTTGGGGTTTTTTTTAGGTATCGGGGATCAAACTTAGGACTTTGCACTTGCAAGGCAAGTGGCAGACCATTGTAGTTTTGACCAACATGATATAGCACTATTTTGTATATCTTCAAACCTGGGCAGTAGTTGGCAAGGGTGACTGCTATTTGGATTTGGAATGTTTCCCCAAATCCTGTGTACCAATCTTGGTCACCAGTCTGTGGTGCTATGGGAGGTCATTGAACCTTTAGGAAGTAGAGCCTCATAGAAAGAAATTAGGTCATGGTGAGTATGTCCTTGAAGCCATATTAGGTTACTGGCCCCCTTTCTCTGTTTCGTGGCCGCCATGAAGCGAACAGACCTGCTCTGCCTTGCATTTCTGCTGCCTGATGCACTGTACCACCACAGGCCCAAATCACCTGGGCCAAGTGACCGTGGACTGAAACTTCTGAAACTGTGAGCCAAAATAAATTTCTACTCCTTTTAAATTATTTACTTCAGCTCAATGGTCAGTTTCACTTTGACTTATCTGATCATCTTCAGAATCCATTTGTACCCCAGCATGTACTTTCCAGTTTTCATAACTAGTTGGAGCCTATAGTTGATCAGCTCTAACAGCTTTTTCTACAAAGCAAACATTTAACATGGAACTGAAGCCCTTGTTAATATCTCCCTCAAAACTGGATCTAGCTTTTTGAAGCTGAGCCCCTTAATAAGTAAGATTTATGAAGTTGAGGGACTCGGTTATTGAGAGAGCCTCTTGGGTTCCCTTGTGACCATTCCAATGCCAAAGGGGCATGCTGTTTCCCTATCTGTCTGTCTTTCTTAAATTAATAAACTTTAATTTTTAGAGCAGGATTTGATTTATAGAAAAGTTGAACAGAAATTGCAGAGCTCCTATATACTGTTTGCATTCTGTTCTTACATTTATTATCAACATCTTATTAGTATGAAGTATTTGATATAATTGATGGATGACCAATATTAATACATTTATTGTTAACTAAATTCTGTAGTTTGTTAGGGCTCAGTTTTTGTGTTATCTTTCTTGGGTTTTGGGGGATTTTTTTGGTACTGAGCATTGAACTCAGGACCTTGTCCTTGCGAGGCAGGCGGCAGCACCACTGAGCTAAATCCCCGGCCCTCTTGGGTTTTGATAAATGTATAATGTCATGTATCTTTCCCTTCAGTATCCTACAGAGTGGTCTTATGGCCCTAAAAGTCTTTTGACTTCTACCTTACTTTTCTTCTCTCCAACTGCTTTAATTGGTGACATTGATTTTTTTCTGTCATTATGCTCTAGGCCTTTCCACAATATCATGGTTGGAACCATACAGTTTGTGCCTTACTCCAGACTGGCTTCTTTGACTTAGCAATATGTATTAAGGTCTGTGTGTGTGTGTGTGTGTGTGTGTGTGTGTGTGTGTGTATTTGTTGAAAGCTCGTTTATTTTTCCTACTAAATAATTTTCCATTATATGTATGTACCATGGTTTATCTATTCACCTATTAAAGAATATCTTGGTTGAAAAATTATAAGGCAAGTTGATATAAACACTTCTGTCTAGGTTGTTATGTGGACTTAAAATTTCTAGATTTTATGTCTTGTTTAGCTCTATCAGAAGCTGCAAAACTCCCTCCAAAGTGGCCGTAGAGTTTTGTATTCCTATTAGCAATGAATACACATCTGTGTTGCTCTGCTTCATCACCAGTTTTTTGGTGTTACTGATTTAGATTTTAGCCATTCTAATAGGTATGTAGTGGTATCTTCTTTTTATTTTCAATTGTGTGGTGTATGATGTTGAGCATATTTGTATAATGTTTATTTGCCATTTATATGTCTTCTGTGGTGAAGTGTGTGTTTATATCTTTTACCCACCTGTAGATTGGGTTATTTTATTATTATTGAGTTTTAACAGTTTTTTGGTATATTTTGAATACAAGTCTTTCAAATATTTTCTTCCAGAATATGACTGGTCTTTTCATTGTCTTCACAGTGTCTTTCAAGAGCAGAAGTTTTTAATTTTAATGAAGTTCAACTTACCAATTTTTTTTTTTTTCTCTTGTGGATTAGGCTTTTGGTCTTGTATCTAAAAACTCATCAGCAAACCCAAGGTCATCTTGTTGGTTTTTTTTCCTATGTGATTGATTAGAAGTTTTATTTGCCTTTTACATATAGATGTATCATCTATTTTGAGTTAATTTTTGTGAAAAGTGTAAGATTTATGTCTAAATTCTTTTTTTTTTTGCATGTAGATGTTCATTTGTTCTAGCACTAGTTGTTGAAAAACTAGTCTTTCTCTATTAAATTGCCTTCACTCTTCTCAAAGACCAGTTGAAGAGTTGGAGGTGTAGCTCCATGGTAGAGTGTATGCTTAGCATGTGCAAGGGCACTGCCCTGAGTTCAATCCCTAGCACTACAGCAACAACAAACAAACAAGACCACTTGTCCATATTTGTGGGCTTTCTATTGCTTTGATCTGTCTATTCTTTCACCAATTATAATATTATATTGTGCATCTTGAAGTCAGGTAATGTTAGTACTTTTTTTTTTAACATTGTGTTAACTATTCTGGGTATGTTGCCTCTCCATATAAACTTTATAATCAATTTATTAATATCTAAAATAATTTTAATTGACAGATAAAATTATATATATTATGTATATCATGATTTTTTGAAGTATATATACATTTTAGAATGACTAAATCTAGCTATTTGATATATACATTACCTAATTATAATATTTTAAATTTACTGAGATTTTGATTAGGATTGCATTGAGTTTTTATAGGAAGCTTTAAAGAATTGACATGTTGGTGATATTGTCTTCCCATCGACAAACATGGAGTATCCATTTATTTGATCTTTTAAAAAATTTCTTTCATGAACTTTGCTTTTTTGCACTTTGCCAGTTTAATTTGGCAATCATTCCATTTCACACACATAGATAGACCTCCCTCATTGTTTTTAACAAGTGAATAATATTTCCTTGTGTATTTGTACAAAATTTACTCAGCCATTCCCCTACTGATGGATGGTTAAACTGTTTCCAATCTTTCTCCACCACAGAGAGTGCTGTAGTGAAATTCTCATGTAATTTATCTTCATGCATATATCTTAGAATAAATTTCTCAGCATAAAGGTGTACAGTCAAAAGTATATACAATTTAAATGTTTTTGCCAAATTTCTTTCTAAAGAAGTTGTATAGATTTAAACTCCAAGGATATGTGCTCGCTTCGGCAGCACATATACTATATTAAACTCCAAGGATAGGACATGAGAATATTCATTTTCCACTGCCTTACTAAGATAGCAGGTATCAATTCTTATAATCTTATTGTTTGAGTCATTGAAGAATAGATCTTATAGTACTTATTTATATTACATCTAAAAGTGAGGTTGAGCTTTTTATCTGTTCACAAGTCCTGATGTTCATCACAAGTCTTGTTGATAAAAACAACTATAAAAAGCATCCTCTGGAAAAAATTTGGATTATTACTGATTCATGGTGGATTATAATAAATAAAATGTAAGTGGTAAAATATTTGAGATTTTTAATTTTTATTTTTAAATATGAGAATTTAGTATTTAATTTTAATTCATAAGCCGCTAGTAATAATATCCTTTTGTAAGTATCTGAAGTAATTTTAAAATTAGCTACTTTTAAGCTGGAATACTTCCTGGCTTCTCATACAACTTAAATACAAGTTATGTGATGTTATTAAACTGATAATATGTAATGTCCATCCTAAAGTTAGCATATATTGCTACAGTGAAAACATAAATGTTGCCACGTAAACTCTGCTGTGTGAAGCCCTGGATCCAATTCCCAGAACTGGTTTTAAATTTTTTTTAAGGTTAGAATAGATATCTTACATATTTCTGCATGAAAAAAAATTTACTCTGATTTGTTTCAGACCTGTGGATATCTGGGCTTTGGGCTGTATGATCATTGAGATGGCCACTGGGAGTCCCCATCTTCCTAGTAGTTCTGATTTGGACTTACTCCATAAAATTGTTTTAAAAGTAGGTAGGTATTACTGAAATATTTTGTTACATATCTATTTTTTTCTTTTTTTTGGTACCAGAAATCGAACTCAGGGCATTGTGCTTGCCAGGCATGTGCTGCACTGCTGAGGTACATCTCTGGTCCTATTACATATGTAAAACAAATATTGCCAAATCAGTTCTGCTTGATTCTTAAACTCAGTTTTTCTGCATGAGAACAAGGAAGCATATTGTATTAATAGATGGTGCCAGATGGGTACCTGGGGCTGATAAAGAAGGCACAAAATTCTGTTTTTACAAATAATATTTTCTTTGCCAGGATACAACTAGCTAAGCTGTATGTTGATGACTGATGCTAAGAAAAATAGTCCAATAGGAATATACTTCAGTTTGCCTAAAATTTATTTTGAAATTTTGGCTTCTTCAAGTATTTGTGCTTCCAAACAAGGACTTTTAAACAGTAAGGTTGAGTCAGATCCTTTTAAGTGTTTGGAGATAGAAAAATAAAATAGTCAGAAAATATCCTTTTTGTGGGCTTGGGTAGGTATTGAGGATTGAACCAAGGGCCTTTGCACTGAGCTATGTGTCCAGCATTTTTTTCTTTTTTTTCTTTTTTTTGAGAACTCTCACTAAATCACTAAGTTGCCCAGGCTGGGCTCAAACTTGTGATTCTCCTGCTTCAGCCTCCCAAAATGCTGGGATTACAGGCCTGTGCCAGCACACCTAGCTCTCTTTAACAACAAGAACAACAAAAACCCACAGCAGGCACGCCCTACCGAGGTTCCGAGTTGCGCAGAAGATACCAAATCACCCTGCTGCAGACAGGCAGGTCTGCCCACGCCCTACCGAGGTCCCGAGTCGTGTGGAACATGCCGAATCAGCCCGCTGCAGACAGGCAGGTCTGTGCACGCCCTACCGAGGTCCCGAGTACCGCAGAACATGCCGAATCAGCCCGCGCCCCGGCAACAATCCACTGGATCC